TTAAAATATGGTCTTGAAAGGTTTTGTGTCTCCCTTTGTCAGAGACATACTTACATCATAAGAATATTGCCAATGTCCATCACATTTTTTTTCATTAAGTTCACTTTCTAAATGCTAATAGGCCTTTAATCACAGATCATGGTAATAAATTACAAGTATTACTTTTCATTTATTTGAGAATAAGATCTACTATAATATTATTAGTGCAACATTATGCTCTTTAACTTCCAATTTTGCCAGGTTAAATGCTACACCAATCATAATATTGATGGAACAGAAGAGTATGATCATTTCCCACACCACACATACAGAGATTCATATTTGCTCTAAGAGGGTCTGTTTTGGAACAGAAGAGTTTCAACATGAACTCTAGATAAAGTCACTAATGTCATGAAGATTGGTGTCATCACTCCATGTTTTTAAAAGATCATAGAATTTTTTTGCATTTGTATGCATGTGTAAATGTAATACCCTCGTCTTTTACAATATTTATGTAACAAGAGTATGTCTGATGACACATAGAATTGAACATATACTCGGCATACAAAATGGATGACCTAGTGGCAAGAAGCTGAACTGGAGTCCCGAAGGCATGTGGTTTTAAAGTCACCAGACACTCTGCAGGAGAAGGATGGGCAACAGATATGAACAGATTTTCAGGTCAACTGGAATTTTGTTCTCATTCATAGGTGGACAGTAGATTTCAGCTGGATAACCTACGTGTGTTCCCTGATGGTGACAAGTACTGTGGTTGGTCAGTTCTGAGTCCCCTAAAGGGGGATGGAAGAAGTTCAGGCCCAACTGGATAAGAAAAAAAAGTAGCCCAGATTCTCTAGCTGGGCTTTATTTAGGATAGAATTATATATGCATAAATTCACAATCTCGGGATTCGTTCTATTTCATTGTGAGGAAGAGATTTTGTGCTTACATTTTGTCTTGTTTGCTCTTCATTCCTCATGGGAGGGTGTTACAAAATAGTTTCTATCATCTAATTCTAAGTTTCTGCTCAAAGTCTTAGATGATAGAAAAAAAAATAAGAAAAAATTCTCTCCTTATCTAACTGGCTAGCTAGAGAGCAATGATGGCCTAGTGGTAAGGAGGTGTCTTGCCAACCCAAACCCACCGGCTGCTCCTTGGAAAATGATGGGCAATCTTCTCCCATGTGATTTACAGCTTCTGAGATCCCACTAGAGGGTCAACTATAGGTTTGTTCTGCCTAGAAGGCACATAAAAATACCACGAACAATTGACTAAAGGTGAAGGACTCATGAGAAAAGTGGTAATAAGAGATCAGTATCCTTACTCCCAAAATGTAGATGACCAGGTTGGTTTCTATCCTTGTGTCTACCCTGTCTCACATTACATGATAACACTATTCTTTACTGTTTGCTTTTTACAGTTCTTAACTTCAGATTTCCATGTGGAAAAGATAACATAATGGCTTACATTCTGCAAATGAAATGAACCTGATTATCCTTTGGCTATCAGATGTTTAGATATCATTTTATTGTTTAAGTATATCAGGTCCTTAGCGGGATTCTGTCAGATGTTTACAATAATTTCTAAAAGCTCCAAGAATGAAATGGACAGTGGAAGAAAATCCATTTCAACCTAATGGGTTAGAAATGAGTCCCTTGCCTGCTGCCATAAACTATTAGGCTTCATAACCTAAGATGGTGTGCATGAATAAAAGATGAGACCGCGAACTCCCTGAAGATGAATCATTATGCTACTAAAACATATCGTCGTTTAAACACAACATGGAAGGGGGCCTATCTGGCCAGTAACAGGGGTCCTAGCTCACGATCTCTCTCCATGTGTCACCCTCCACCTACTACATGCAGAACTTGGGGTTTGAATGCCTCGACTGTTTTATTCACATACTTATCAATTCCTAATTCAGATGGGATGTTCTTGCTTTTGCTGTGAAGGCAAAAAACAGCATGGGATTCCACGAGCTGAGCAGGGAAGCCTCCACCATATTGGAGAATTACAAAGCCAGGGAAAACAAGCTGGGGCTTTGGAGATATTGTTCATACTGATTTGGAATGATTTCTTTAATATCTCAGCATCTCCACTTTCAATTCATAGTATAGTAATTCAGTTCATAATAGTACAAGGCTTTTAGGTTGTTTTTGTTTTTTTTAAAATAGAAAGCTTTTATTTTTTTTTAAACTCAGTGTTCTTTGAAAGCACTTCTTCTATGCCCACAAATAAGGGGTTAAGTGCTTTTGTTTCTTGCAGCTGAAAATTCTAAGAAAGTTCCATACTGGATAGAATTCTCTTCCCATTCTTTTTCAGCAATTAATGTCTTAAAGTAGGTGAACCTATTTCCATCTTTACTGGGGATAAGAAAAATAAAATCCACAGTCAACAGTCTTGGCACCAGTAGCCAGGAAATTAAAAGGCGCATTGCCATGGGAAAGTCTGCTGTTAGGGACCTCTCCAAAGTACTGGAGAGCAATGGTGTCATTCTGGAGACTAAGGTGTGTCTGATACAGGCCATGGTCTTCGCAATCACTTGTTATGCATCAGAGAGTTGGACAATGACCAAGGAGGATAGAAGGAAAATTGATGCCTTTGAGCTGTGGTGCTGGAGAAGAGTATTGAGAATACCATGGACGGCTAGGAAAACAAACAGATTTGTCCTGAAAGGGTTAAACTGGGTGGCTTCTTGGAGGCAAGGATTCTGAGGCTCTGTCTAACATACTTTGGACATGTTGTGAGGAGAGACCCGTCCTTGGAGAAGGACATCATGCTTGGGAGGGTGGAGGGACAGCGCAGGAGGGGAAGGCCCTCTGTGAGGTGGATTGATTCAGTGACTGGGATAATCGGGATGGTAGTGTCAGAGACAGTGTGATTGGCACAGGACACTGAAGAGTTTAGGGCTGTTGTACATTGGGTCGCTATGAGTTGCAAGCAACTGGACGGCACATAACAACAGCATATATTTTGTTATTTATTTTTCAAATAGTCGTCTTGCTAACTTATAAAAGAGGAGATGCAAGTATTGTTGTTGTTAGGTGCTGTCGAGTATACTCAGAGTGACTCCATGAACAACAAACCTGAATCCTGCCCCATCCTGAGCCATCCTCATTGTCTCGGACACACCTGGTTTGTAAAAGCTGATGTTCATGTTCTCCTTGCAACTTTTTAATTAGTTTCCCATATCTTAAAAATTGGTTAGAGTTTATATAAAATTCATGTATCCAATCTAAAAATTAAAAAGTCAGTATATTGGACAACGACACTGGACCCCCATCAGAGGTCCGTCTAAGGTATGGCAGGTATGCCTTGGACATCATCGGAAGGTGGTGCTGTTGAGCAGGCTTTATTAACTCAAAAAACTCAATGTTGTTGAGTTGAAGCAACTCATAGCTTACCCTCTGCCGAGTTTTTGAGGGTATAAATTGAATGGAAAGAGACTGCCCATCTTTCATCCTCGGAGCTGCGAGTGCAGTCAAACAACCAAGAAGGCATGGTCTCTGGCTTACCAGTGTGAATCTCCATGAACTAGGCCCCCAGAACTCTCTTTTTATGAACTGTTACAGCTCACTATCCTTCCTCAAGCACCAGAGACATAAAGTTAGGAGATGGGGATGAGGGGGTAACTGCCCCTGGTAGAAAGCCGAAGGGAATGGTCAATGAGGTGTGAACTGACATTCAAAAGAGCCACACATAGGAAAGATGTCTGACTGAGGCTGCCAGACTAGAGGAACAAAGGCACTACTGATAGCATTGATAGCAACATCGTTAATATGCCTATTCATCTTCAAATTGAGAGGTGTCTATTAAAGATACATTTCTACTCATCACTCAAATTGAGGAGAAGGCTTTCAGACGGCCCCTGGACCTCTTTACCTTTGCTCCAGCCTGAACTCCACAGGGCCTCAGTGAGTTGTCAACTGCCCTCTTTTGACACACCCTCCTCAATTTGCCAGAGTCTCTACCATTCCCTACTGTCTCACTAATACCAAGCCCCTGCATGGTGAACTGCACTTATCAAAATAGTTTTGTTGTGGCATGGCTTGTTTTACTCATTTACTTTACCAGCTAGCCCCTTGAAGCACTACGAGTTTATGTCCACAGTATTTACCGTGGTAACTATGAAGAAAGCAGAGAGAGCAATAGGAAAAAATATGACTGTTTTAACACAGCAAAATGTACTGCACAAAGAAGAAACCAATTCAAAAAAACAGCATGCTACTGCACTTTCTCTACAACACAGTTCCTCAGAACTTTCTGTGGGGGAATATATCAATGTGGTAGCCTTGTCAACCACACACACAGACTCCTTTCGCCTAAAGAAATACCAGCATTTTGCCTTAGTGATAAGAAGATTCATATATGTTTATTTCTGTGCTTTGTCATGAATAAAAAAGAAAATATGCAACTAGGAACATACTTATCATGTAGTTCACTTTCTTCCTACAATCAATCCCATTCCATTACTACATTCTTCATGGGATTTGCTTCTGGCAAAGGAAGACTCTTTTATCCAAATCTAACCAATGTAATCACACCTTAATGGTGCTCCACTGAGCCCCACTTTTGATTTGATTTGGGAGGGCTAAGTATCTTTATTCTCTTTCCATGTTGCATCAACTATTCTTATTCTTGATTCAGGTTCTTAGCCAGCTTCTACTTGGTATATGTAAGGACTAATTACAATGACAAAGATTATTTGATACATTTCCAAGATATTAATTCCCTTAAGTACTTCCCTGCATTGAAGGGGAAAAGATGATATCAAACCAGAGATATCCAACAAAGAGGAATAGTCAGTGGTAAAAACTTCAGCCACCCCTCCATTTTGAGCTACCAGGTAGAAACAGTAAGTTTCCCAAATCCCAAATGAACAGCACATTCGTTAGCTGAAACTTTCAGGTTTATATTAATGAGTGAACAGATTAAAAAATAAATAGGCATCACATAAAAGTTTCTATTAGATAATATCCTTTTATAAAACAAAGTGCATGCCAAAAAGTATAAATGAGGGGAAAACATAAGAATAAATTTTTTAAGTATGAAAGGAAGTTGGAGAAAAATATACTCCTAAACTCAGGAAGGAAACAACCAGGTTGGAATCGTCATCTTAGCTGCGGTGAAGGCCAGCATGATGTGTCCACCATCAGTAGCAAGTGCAAAAAGAACAACATTGAGAGTCATGACATTGACAGTAATAAAGTGGCAGTTTCTGGGTGCGTGGCTTATTTCCGGCCTTTCTCAGCATATCCAGGATGTCCGTGCTCATCAGCCAGAGAGGTGCCTCGAAAGCCAGGACATGACTAAAGGATTTTGAGGAAGTCCCTTCATGTTTTGTTTCTGTTTGTGAAAAAAAAAATAATAATCTCAAGTCGTTTTGTTTGCTCTGAGTTCAAGAGGGAACTCCAAGGTTCCAAGAGCTCAAACCAACTCTCAAACAGTCATTCCCTGCGAGGCGATGGCATGAAAGAAGGCCAAGTGTGGGGGGCTTGGTTTTGAAAGTTGTGCTCCTTCCCCAGACACGGGTCTTTGTGGAGGGAGGAGAAGGAGGAGAATGAAGAAGCTCAGCTAAAATGATGCAAGACATTGGCAGCCTCTTTTATTGTCTATGAGGTGTTTGGGGTTTTTTTTACTCTTCTGAATCTGAAAGAAAGAAAAAGAAGAGTGTCAATGCTGCCTTTCCCCCCCAACTCCACCCTCCAGGTCTGAGGAGAAGAAAATCTGGGGCAGAGATGGGGAGTGAGTGGAGAATCAATTAAACATTTCGATATTGGTCATTACTGCCAACTTTGCAGCACAACTCATTCTATTCTGGGTGAGAAAATCTCAGGGAGACTTTAAAGACGGGCTCCACTTGGCATCTTAATAGCTGCTTTCACTTAGACTTTCAAGTGTTCAGCTGATGTAATATGCAAATTGGTTGTTAGTTGCTGCAAAGTTGATTCTGACCCATGTGTGCAGAGTAAAAGCGCTCTGCGGGGTTTCCCAAAGGCTGTGCCCTTTGGAAGCAGATCACCAGGCCTGTCTTCTAAGGCACCTCTACATGGGGTCCAATTGCCGACCTTTATGTCTGCAGTAAAGCACTGAGTTACGGCGCCACACAGGGAATTCCACATGCACGTTATTGTTGTGAGGTGCTGGTAAGTCCATCTTGCCATACACTGGTCTCCTGTGGCAGAGTAAAACTATGACATAGACTTTTCTAGGATGTAATCTTTGGAGATCAGGTGGCCTACAGGCAAGAAGCTGCACTGCAATCCCAAAGACACGTGGTTCGAGGCCACCAGATGCTTTGCAGGAGAAGGATGGGCAATCTCCTCCCATGCGATTAACTGCCTCTGAAAATCCGCCAGAGGGTCAGCTATGGATCGGTTCCAACTCTACAGTACACAACAACAAAGCAACAGTCTTTGGAGAATCAGACCAAGAAATTTTTTCCCCATAAAATCGCTGGATGACCTCAAATGTCTGACCATCTGGTTAGCAACCAACTGCTTAATCATTGGCACACCAGAGTTTCTGATATGGACATGAAGATATATCCTTTTGCAATTGTTTCCAGCTCTGGTTCATTCCACTCAAGGGTCAGTTGTTGCTTTGTACCCCTGAGTCTGAACCAACTCGTAGCTGACTCTCCAAAGGGTTTTCAGAGGCAGTAAATTGCACAGAAGGAGAGTGCTAGAGCTGGTGGATTAGAACTGCATGCCTTTGGTTTGGCAATACAATTCCTTACCACTAAGCCATCAGAGATGCCTGTCAAGTTGAGTCTAACTCATAGCGACCCTATGAACAACAGATCTGAAGTCCTATCTCATGCCATGATAAATTAGTCTTATCTAAGGCCAAGGGTTTATAAACCCAAAGCAATATTCCTCTCACAATTTTTGTTCCACCTTCAGAAGCTTCTCAAAGAAATTTTAAATAAGTTAAAATCTTTTTTTTGTAAAGACTTCAAAGAGAACTTCATGAAAACATATTTTCTATATTCATAGTTTCTCCTCAATCTGGTCTTATGTTAACATTAGTTGGCCAACATTATTTTAATTTCAGGTATTTAAAGATATTATTTCATTTCTGTAAATAATGTTATTGTTGTTAGGTCAAATCAACACTTTACAATAGGCAAGTTGTTGCTGTGTGCCATTGAGTCAGAATGCTGAGTCCATAGCTGACTCTCTAGAAGGCTCCCAGAGGCAGCAAATCGCACAGGAGTATAAGATATGATCTTAATGAAAAGCATGCAGATGGGTAAACAGCCTGCATTCTCTGCTTCCACTCCCAGTGAGGACATAGAAGAGAAAAAAATGCAACTAGGACTAAGCGTAATGGAAATAGGTGTCAGATGTTTTAATTTTGTAACTTCAGTGGGCTTGAGTAGAATTGTAAAACAAAAAGTCTAAATGATTGCTTCTTATAAGTGCTGCATTCTCTGCAAGTCATCACATCATACAGTTAGAACGGCTCTCTCCTACTCAGGACTCCTAAGGGACAAACAGTGGCTTAGATTTTAAGAGTAACATTGGCATCAGAGATGCTAGAAGTCATTGGAGACTGAGGAGGTTTTCCACTCAACTTTGAAGACTTACTCTCCTAAATAAGGCTCAAATGAAATCAAGCAGAAAACTAGCTGGGAATGGGAAAGCCCTTTTCTGATGTATTGTAATTAGAGACAACTCTTTATTTCCTGGGGCTATTGACCCAGGTCTTGAGTTTGTTATATTTACTGGCTATTACCACCTTCAGCCACTGTGGAGAAATAAGGGAAAGGTAATGTCTATGACGAATCTCTTTGATACCGGCATGATAAACTGCTAGTAAAGGAGGATGGAAGTAGTAAAGGAAAGGAGAAGAAAAAAGAATCATTGAAATCAAGGACTTGACATTGCCCATGGATTTTCTATTGTGTAGTGTCTTGTCCATGTGGGTGCTGCAAGACAGGGGTCCCAATTTAGTGATTTGGGCTTTGCCACTTCTGACTGGGGTCTAATGGAGCTGCCCAGTAGGTAGCTGTCATAGTCCTGGCCACTCAAATGCAAAACCTCATTTTCTTGTGCTGCTGACATAGACTGGATTTAAATTTTGAATGGTAGATTATTGGACAGAACATGGTTGGGAATAATTGACAAGACCAGCTACTATCCCCAATTTGCTCTATAATTAAAATAACATGGATGAATTAAAATAAAAATTTATCATTTCTCAATTTTAGGAAATTCAGGAATCAAATTACCTTAACTGTCACCTCCCAATCACATTCTCACCTAAAGATTTTACAGGCTTCACAAAGGGGTAGCTGTGATGACTTTGAGTCTGGAAGAGCACGGTGTATAAACTCACAGAAATGACTTTTTAAAAATTTGTTATTTTATTTTATTATTTTGTGTGTGTGCGCTGTCAAACTGGATCTAACTGGCATAGGAGGAAATTGTCCCTCCTTCTCTAGCAGAGTATCTGGTGGATTTGAACTGCGTACCTCTGGGATTGCAGTGCAGCTTCTTAGCACTGGGCTACCAGAGCTCCCTCAGAGATATCTTCACTAAAAAAGAAGAAGCAATAAAGAAGATTCCTGCCACTGCAGTTTAGAAAGAAAATTTTTTAAAAAAATTGTCCTTGTTTATTCCATTTTCACAAGCTGCTCCTTCAAGTCAATGAGATGCTGCATTTGTATCTCAAAATCATTTGATTAAAAAGAGAAATGTCTGAAAAGGATTAACGTTTGAATTAACATGCCAAGGCACCAAAAATGTGCCTATCAGTCATTAACTGTTACTCTTTGGCCAAGTGGGTGGAATGGCCATGATTCAGGTCTCACAAGAAACTGACCCTAAATTTTAAGGTAAAGTTTTAAATACTTTTGGTTTTCATTTTCTTTGGTTTTATTTTTTTGACCCTGATTGAACTGTCACTGTGACTCAAAGATGTAAACTGATGTGATTGAGACCCGAGCTGGGAATGAAATTTATAAGTCTCCCTCCAGAGCCAGCTTTCTACAAAAACAGCAAAGTGATGCATGAAACAGCACAAAGAGTTGTAAAGGGCTAAACAGAGTATCAGTGACAATCTGGAATAAGTAAGATTAAACCAAAGCCAATGTTAAATGTCAGATATAATTTCTATTGAGTTTAGAGGCTGTGAGTAGGTAGGATCTGGCTTTGTTTTGGTGTTTAATACTGAGGGAATTCTCAGAAAAAACCCACAATTTTGGACATACTTGTTGGATTTTAACTAGACATAGATTTCACTGAAAGAGATCATAAGTGCATGTTCTACCCACTAAATTGACTGCTATCAAATCAATTCAAACTCAGGGGAGCTCTGGTGGCCTAGTGGCAAGGAACTGCAACTACAATCCCAGAGGCGCACAGTTCGAATCCACCAGATGCTCTGCCAGGGAAGGAGGGACAATCTCCTCCTGTACCAGTCAGATCTGATTTGACGGTACATGCACACCAAAAAAAAAATAATAAAAAAATAAATGTGTTTTTAAAAAAATCAATTCAAACTCATGGTGGCCACTTCCCTTAATTTTCAACATAAAAAAAATTCTAAGGGAAACAGATTAGCAAATCAAAGAGTGATTGATGTATTTAAACCACCACACTTTGATTTACCAACCCAGCAAATAACTCATGTTGCCAGGTTCATGACAGCTATTTTAAATGGCAGTCATGAAATCTCAGAACACACGTGTTCATACCTTCTCTCTGTGTACAAAACAACAGGGCAGAGAACTATCATTGTATTACTCTAGATTAAGTCATCGCATACCAGTGCTTTAGTACTGCTTAAACAAAACACTGTAATCATTTTTCATCTGAGAATGGAGTGGTAGTGAAAGCAAGAGAGAAAGAAGATAGAGAAGATGTAAAAGAACAAGTTTGGGGCAATTTCCTAACTTTGTGTATGCCATCCTCTTAAAAAATTTACTCTTTCAATTCAAGTAAGTAGAATGAGAAGGGCACAAAGAATGACAGTCTTTAGGTCTTTCTTTGTCTCTCTGTTTTATTTTTTAGCAAAAGAACAATGGTTCGTTTTCAATAAACTAGAAAGACACTCCTGGACAACTAATTTACAAAATTACACTCATCATGTTGTATAACCATCACCACTATCCTGTCCTTCTTTCTGAGTCATGGTATCTGGTATCCAACTGAAAAAAAAAAAGACTAGGTTAAACTGTTCCACTCTACTTTGTCTGTTTTCTCTCTTCTTTTAGCATGTTCTTTCTTTCCAAAGGTAAATATGTGAATCAACACATCCTTGCTTTGTTCCATACTGTCCAAAGTGTTTCATTGTTCTTATTCTGTGTGAAAGGAATGTTGGTGGCAAAAGAGACAAGTAACTCAGTTGTTAACCAAGACAAAATTTGAAAACAAATTCAAGCCTGGACTTAAGCAATATTGAAAAATGCTATAGACAATATGCTGAATGACCCAGAAAACATCAAAAAATGAAGGGGATACACTGAATTATTTTACCAGAAGGAACTGACTGACACTCAAAAATTTCAGGAAGTACCATATGAGCATGATCCTCCCAGAGCTCTTTTGGTCTACACTCATTGGTGCTCAAGGCTTCAAACCTGTTCCTGAGATGATTTTGAAATTCAAAACTGAGATTGTTCACAGTTTTAGTTTGCTTGG